ATTTATATGGTTTAACTTCACGTAAACAATTTTTTTAATTGAATAATCACCCGTTATATATTTCTTGAGATAATAAATATAGATTGTAATACTCATTATTAGTGTTATCAACACAATTACTCCCAAAATTACTGGTGTTTGGTCACTTATCTGTATCTTTATAATTGGAAAACTTTGTAATTTACAATTCTTACATTTAATAAACTCCATAGTAGCATTGCTTACAATTTTTAATTTTATCTATATATTGAATTTTTTTTATATCATCAATTAATATCATAAAAGAGAAAGTCTTATATATTCATCTGTATTAGATCCAACATAATTATAGTATATTGAAGAATTTTCAATATTCACTTTATTGCTTGTAAAGTTTTTTGTCCATATGTTAATTGATATAGTTATATTAACCTGGGTATATTCCTTATACCATTTTATACCAAAAGCAAAAAATTTTTCCTTTTCAAAAATGCTGTTTAAATAATACATCTTTCTGTTTTATTATAGATTCACAATTTTTTGCATATATTGTTTTTAACAGTAGTAAATTCAATATTACTGTCCATAAAAGATCTTTATCACAAATCTTCATTGCTTTATACTTTGATAAATAATAGTCAGTAAGATTCTCTTTTAACAGCTCATTAAGATTTTTTTATATATATTTTGTGCCACATGTTAAAAAGTAATTATAGTAAATAAAACAATATTAGATAATATTTATATAACCATATTTTATTTGAAAATATTTTACAATAATAACAATTTCTATTTGTTTTTAGTTAGTTAATTCCTTATAAAATTATTTCACACATGCCAAATAACCACCGGCAAAAGCACATCCAATTTCTTTTGGAAACTAAAATTTTATTGAAATTTTTAATAACCATTTAATAAGATCAGTAATATACTATAATCTTTCTTTATATCTAATATCAGTACTCTATTTTATTTGACATATTTTACAATAATGACAACAATATTTCTATGATGTTTTTTTAATTCCTTTGAAAAATCATGAATTATTTCAAGATACACATGCCAATCACCACCAGCTGAAGCACATCCAATTTTTTTGGGAAACACAACTTTTTCAATTAAAATTCCATTGGGATCTGTTAATAACCATTTAACAAGATCATTCATGCACTCTTTGAACATAATCTCACGACCTTTCTTTGTATCTAAATATTTGCATGTATTGTAGTAGGTCTTATCAACTTTACAGTTCATATAATACTTATGTGGAGTTCCCATCGCATACTGTGCGAACATTTTGGCAATCATTGGTTGTTTTTTCCATTTTTTATAAATTTTATACTCCCAAATTTATCACGAGTGGCTTCATTAGCTAATTTTGCAAAGATCCAGGTATTCTAAATAAAAAATGGATTACTAAGTGGTAAAACTTGACTTAAAGCATCAGTAAGACTTCCCTCCTTCAATTTAACAGCACAACAATTTACTTGTTGTACTAAAGTATTTTATTCACCCGCCACTAAAATCTTTTTGTAATATTACCTTTTAAATTTTTGAAAGATATTTTTTCTTCATTTTTTGTTTTCTCTGCTTCTTGACCTGTAATTTTAATAAAAAATATAATATTATATTCCTAAAATTAACTAACTTATTATTAATCATTAAAATTTCTAAAATTATATTTTAAGTGATTCAAAAAACATCATATTAAAAAAAAAACTCACATTCAAAATCTTTCCCTTGCTTATGAGGGGATTTCCTTATCAGTAAGATATTGTTCAGTCATCTTCATTTGTTTTGGAGGGTTGTGATCAAAGTCTTCTATTGAATTTATCATTTTTCTTTTAGAGTAGTAATGTCTAGAACACTTCTTTTCTGTAACAAAAATTTTTTATATAATTTCTATTTGTTAACAACAAATTAAATAAAAGATCATTTATATCACACACATGAATTTTTTAGTTATTATTATAATAAAATTTTACTTGAAATTAGTTTACCTAGATATGAAGTCTTTCAATAATATTTACCGAGACTGTAGTTCGTCAAGATCGTAGTTCTAACACAAGTTACCCATTTCTGGCTCAAGGGAGAAAGGTTTCTAAAATTATATAATGTATGATGCTTCTTAAATACTCTTCTGGTCTTCAACTAGTTGCTTATTTTTATCTCACAAAATATTTTACCATCGTAGAATATAATTTTAAGAATAATTTTAAAACTATGATCTAATAAAATATTATTTTATTACAGAAAAGATTTACATGATTGACAAAAAATATTTTATCACAGAAAATTTTTTATTATAATTTTTTCATTTTTTTTATATTTACATCACTAAAAGCACTACAATTTCCAATTAGTAGAAACATTTAGAAACATTTAAACCATTTTGGGTATAGTTAATAACCAACCCTCTCTCTCCTGGATGTTAAAATAAAAATGTATGAAAAGAATATAAACTATTATTACTAGTTACTAGACTATAAAATATGGTAACAACAACATCAAAATTACTCGAAGAAATTTTTGCTCAAATTCCTTATCAAGACTTATTAAACTGTTGTGCTCCAGTATGTAAGCAATGGAGAAATGTAATTGATGATCAGCATTATATGCCACTTCGTCAATTATATCACAGATATTGTAAAGAACCTTATTCAAAATTTAAAAGTCCCTTTGGTAATAATAGTAGTGCTATTGATATTTTACGACCATTTTCTCGAAAAAACAAAAACAAAGATAACTATATATCGCAATTTTTATTACAAATTATTGAATATAAAAATCAAATATATAAAACCTATAATTTTCAAACTGATTTAATCGAATTGCACTCTCATCCAAGCTACGAACATGCCACTGAATTTTTGGTATATCATAAATTGTTCTACAATAATAATGATTGGCATCTTCTTATAATATTTATGATAATACTATCGGAGCAAATAAGTGAAAGCCTGTATTTATTATATTTATTATTAAAAATACCAAATTTTTATCCATTAATAGATATTATTGATTTTTTTTACGGCTTATCTTTGATGCTTTTGAATTGTTACTATAACCACATAAGTTTATTAACTTACAAAGATGATTTACATTATAATCTCATTAAGATTCATTCTACTCTTTTCATTTGGGAAAATCGAATAAATCCAATAATTAATGGTTGTTCGTTAATGACATGTGAACGAGCACGAGTGGTAAATCATCTCTATTATAATAACGACGACAGAATTATTATTGTTGAATTTCAAAGTAAAGAAATCATTTTTGATATATTTGAGATATTATTATTAATTTTTAATACTCATATTAATAAAAAGTTTTTAATTATTTTATCTGAAGATAATTTAGATATATTGTTAAAAAATTCATTGTTACATTTATTCAAAAATAATGTAACTGTAATCAATCATTATAACTCTTTAAAAAATTATGAAAAACAACACGATTTTTTAATAATTTTTTCTTCAATTTGTTCCTCAGAAACACTAGAAGAGATAAAAAATCTAATCAATTTTCCCATAATTGTTTTTAAATGTATTAATTGGTGTTTTAGTTATAAAATACATTTATTTTATAGAAGAATAAGGAGAAGAAAAAAAATAAAAATTTTTAGATTGTGTAATTATCGAGAGAAAAATAAAAATTATGGTAAATTATTATGCATTAAAAATGAAACTACTAATTTGGAAACTGAAGATTTTCCAAAATTTATTTTAGTCGGAGAATTACATACAAACAATTATAGATCTCTTAGATCTCTATCTCTAAGAAGTCTTATAAACTTACATTTTGTAAATTTTAAATTAATGTTAAAATCAAACATTTTTAAATTTTAAATTGATGTTAAAATCAACATGAAACTTTAATATTTTCCATTATCATCACAATATTCAAAACATTGCTATTATCAATTTTATAACCATCTTCTCTTAGTGAACTAATTAAAAAATCAATATTAAAATTAAAATGTATCATTCTATTCAAAATACTATTACTGGAAATAATATTAATGGGATAGTAGGTAATATTTATATTACCCCTTTCTATAATTTCATCCTCTCCTTTTCTTACTCTTCCATTTTCAAAATCAAAAATATCTTTATTATTTAAACTAGCTATCATCTCAACAAAAATATATTTATTCTTATATTTCATTCTAACCAATAGCTCATAATAACCGTCTCCATCAATATCATTATTTTGATGCTGATAAATATGATACAAACGATCAACTTTTTTTAAATCCACCTTGAATTTTGCCAATTCTTTATAATTCCATAAAAAACTTTCCCAACAACTAAAATTACGTTTAAACATTGACTGACATTTGAGAGCATTACCCACCCTGTTATAAATTTCAGAAATTGTTGATACCTCTTTAACAAGAGACTTGAAAAAGATTTTTTTCTGTTTCTGAATAGAACCTGATGCTTCTACATGAGCTGTTTCTTTAATACAATTACCAGTATAATAATTTTTATCTCTTTTTTCTATATTCACATCACCAATTTCAATTCCCGGTACATAACCAACATCCGGTAAAAAATTCATAAAAGAGTATTCACCATAAGCACCATAAGCACTATAACTTCCAATTTCAATTCCCGGTACATAACCAACATCCGGAAAACAATTCATCAAAGAGTAATTTTTTTCAGTCCATTCGTTATAACTGTCCAAAGGCTGTAGTTGAATTTCCTTCTGATCCCTCATATTACGATTTATTCTCTTTCTTCTTCTCTTCTTCCTACTACTCCTACTACACTGTGTACTCTTCTGAATAGAACCTGATGCTTCTACATCAGCTGATCTTATTGTTTCTTTAATACAATTATCAGTATAATAATTTTCATAATCTCTCTTTTCTGTACCATAAGCACAATTTTTTTCAGTCCATTCATTATATCTGTCTAAAGGCTGCTGTAGCTTAATTTCCTTCTGTGTACTCGAAAGTGATGGTAATTGTAGTTCTCTCTGGTCATCAAAAAGCTCCATCATGGTACAACAATTCAAGACTTAATTGGTTTTATTGTACATTGTATTAGTTTTCTACAAATTGGACATTTTTCCAATGCTGCAGAACATGAAGAACATGAAACCATGTGTTTACATGGTAAAAATACTATCTCTCTCTCTGAATCCATACAAATTTTACAATTTTCTTCATCTTCTGTTACAAGTTCTTGATCTGAAAAATAAAAATACTGAATTAATAAAAAAATTAAATTTAACAAATAAATTAAAACAATATAATCAACAAAATTAAAGTAGTTAAAATAAAAATATAAATACAAGATTTTGGTAGTTCTTCATGATGATTATCAGGCGTAGTAGTAGTAATCTCATCAGTTTGTAGTTCTTCATCTATATCAATATGCTGATTAGCAGCAGTAGTAGTACTCTCATCAGTTTGTAGTTCTTCATCTATATCAATATGCTGATTAGCAGCAGTAGTAGTAGTACTCTCATCAGTTTGTAGTTCTTCATCTATATCAATATGCTGATTAGCAGCAGTAGTAGTAGTACTCTCATCAGTTTGTATTTCTTCATCTATATCAACAATAGTAGTAATAGTTTGTAGTAGTTCATCATCAGTTTGTAGAAGAGCTTCATCTATAAGCTCATCATCGTTAGTTTGTCGTAATTCTTCTTCTGTAATAATTAAAAACTAATAATTAATGATAAGAAATAGCACAAACCTAAGAATAATTCAATAATAGTATGTATCTTCGATATTCTGGTGTATTAATAATTGAACTAAAACGAAATAATAGCACAAACCTAAGGGGAATTCAATAATAGATGTATCTTCGACATTATGGTGTAAATTTCTATTTTCATTTTTTAACTCTTTGTCCATGTACGTTAAGATTTCTTGAATACAATGTTGAGATTAAAGAAAGGCTGTCCAGTCTGCTCAAGCTTTGTTGAAGAATAGCTCTCACTTTATCTTGTGGAAATCCCAGGGAATAACTTCACATATAATATTCCAACTCCATTTAGAGTATTTAATCAATTTCACTAATACATTTTTAACTGCTGATACAGACAAATCATTACTAGGAGCTACAGGAGATTTTCTTTCTTGTTGAACCTGTAAAAAAATAAAATAAAAAATAATGAATATTCTCTTTTTTTTTCAGTATTAGTATAATCTATAGTTTAGTCAACAAAAATTTCAATTGTATCAAATACACTTTTCTACCTTATCAATGAAATCTTGTCCTTTTGTCAAAGCAGATGTTACACTCTGGATACCAGCGTGCATGTTCAATCGGGCAGCATAGATTTCTCGTATCCTTTCAATTAGTATAACTATAGTTTAGTCAACAAAAATTTCAATTGTATCAAATACACTTTTCTACCTTATCAATGAAATCTTGTCCTTTTGTCAAAAGCAAGAAGTTACACTCTGGATACCAGCGTGCATGTTCAATCCAGGGCAGACCATTAGATTTCCAATTACGTATTCCATTTCCACAATGGAAACATCGCACATGATCACTTAGATCTGAATTAATTAAAATCTAATAAGAAGAAATAATAGATAGAAATACTTAGTAACTCATTACATTATAACATTTTTTCAAAGTTATTAAAAAAACCTTATGTCCATAATAAAAATATCATTAATAACTTACCACAGTAAAAGAATCCTGCTTCTGCCAATTCTTCAGGTTTTTGTTTAACACCATTTGGCCATCTAGCAAAACTTTTTATTCTATTCTCATATGTTAAATAGTCTGTTCGCTTAGGACCACTATGTTGAGGTAAACACAATGTATGCTTTACAGATCCATCTTAAATTAAATAAAATATACATTAAAAATATACATTAAGAAAATATAATTATAACAATTTTTTTCTATTATTTTCAATAAATAGATAAATAATACTTACTGCAATGTGTACCACAGACATCTATTTCCATTATCTTTCTATTTTGCAATTTAGGAATAGATGATAGGAAATCAAATATTTTATCATATTTAATTGGAATATTTCCAACTGGCATTCCCCTTATAAATGGACATCTTGGAAAATGTTTTTCATGCTCTCTTCTAGGTGTATCACCTTCTTCCCACACTCCTACAATACCTCGACAAAAAACACAAGCACAATGATCATCTTTTCTAAGATAGTAAAATCCATCACGTGCTAAATCACTTGGGTTTAACCATTTTATAGGCCAATCTATAAAAGTATCTAAACGCTCTTTTTCAAATTGCAAACTATAATAGGATGAAAATTTCTTTGATCCATTATTATTCATTTTGTATAGTTTAAATATACTTATCTTTATAAAACTATTGGAGGATCTTTTACCACAGATAAGAGGATGTTAACCTTATAGTGTCGTGGGTTTGTGGTTGTTTTTTTCCCACTCCACACTAATATATATATATAGTAATGTCAAGAAGTTTTTTACATGTTCTGTCATTATAATTTTAAATGTAAAATAAATGAAGAAAGAAATAAATGGAAATAATTTTTAATAATAAAATATACAGAAACACAAACTAATATATAAAATGTTTGATAAACTTTTTTATTTCATACAGCCAGTTTTGTTATTAAAAAAATAAAAAAAAATAATTCATATATTCAGAAATTCAAATACCATAAAACTCATAGTTCATTTAGATTAAAGTATTACTATCATATAATAATCTTTCTTTCACACACAAAAAATTTTACCAACATAGAATTCACTCATCTACAGTAAAGTTTACAGGATGTTACATCCTTTACAGTACAGGATGTAACATTTCTGTTATCCATTTTCTGAGAGAATTAATTATTTCGTTTCTGAAATTTTCTTCCCTCATTTAAAATACATCAAAAACTTACACTGTATTCAAATTTTACGTTTAAATATATCCTGATGTTTAGACATCATTAGTAAATGTCAGAAAATTTATGATACTTTTTTTATAATAGACTTGAAGCATTTTTGTTTCTGCATAGTCTAATAAGCTTCATATTTATACTGTTTTGTATTTTTTAACACCATTACCAAAATTTTCCAATAAAATTTAAAAATATTTTTAATATAACACACTTATTTACCAAAATCTTCCAATAAATTTTAAAACATTTTAATGCAAAAATATAAAATTTTTCGCTTTTTTATAGTTTACCATTACAAAATATTACAAATATTTTATTATTTAGATATTTTTTATATATCATAAAATATTTTACCACTATACACAAAAATTTAAAATTTTTACCATAGAAATTTCTTTACTAAGTGAAGAAATCAACAATCTCTAACTCTTAGATCAAAATTACTTTTTCAAATCTTCGTATAAATCAATCAAGGATTCATCATGTCTTTTCTTTCTTTTTTTGTAAGTCTAAACAAACTGTAATGAATTCTGGTTTTACTACATAATAATTTTTCAAATTTTAGTACCAAATCATGTAACTCAGTGTTTGTGGTAATTGTGGTGTACACAAATAACCTAAAACGATATAAGTTTTTAAACCTATGCACATTAATAAGATGTTTCTCTTTTCATCATTATTGTCAATTTTCCAATGAATAAAGTGAATTTTTAATAAATTTAGCC